CCAAACCGGAAGCATAATTATTTTGCTGACTGTAAAGAGGGAAGTGCTTTCTTCATTCCTTCATCTGCTCAATTTACCATGTTCCGTATTTCTGAAATGTAAAGATCACTGATACAGGTATGTACATTGTAAAAATTATATTCAACTTAGAAGCAACTGTTTTTCCTTAAAGGCACATTATGCCTCAGAAATTAATATTTTTTTCCTTCATTAGGCAGTGCAAACATGAGTATTATAACATTCAAATAATGCTTTAAAGCAAGTAAGATGCTTATATCATATTCTTTGTATCAATATCTTATTTTATTTATCAAATAAATAACATGCCAATGAGCCAGTCTATAGTCGATCATTCTAAAACTTGACGGTTGGGAGAGGTAACGACTGAGGCAGTGTCGCTCACTCCATTTGTTGATCTCTAAAATGAGAGCGCATTCAATACAAATCACATGATCACGTGATATGTAGTTCATGCAAAGCGGGAAACTGCCAAAAAAAAAAAAAAGAAATACAATTAGAAACAGTTCAAATTTCGGCCTTTTCCGCCGTACTTCGTGCAAAGCATGGTCGGCAAAGCATACGTGGTTAGATATTAAACAAATCGGCTTTCTCCGTCAAAACTTCGTAAACTAATTTATGGAAATCGCCTGAGGTACTTCGAATAACTTACCCAACACAAAAGATTACGTGTTTACACTATTATATGTTGTGATTTGACAATATTTTTTCCGTTATAACTTTGAATGAACTGTTAAATTAAAATGGTCATTCCAGATAAAATAACAAAATTGGTAACTTGCTTAATCAGTTGTCCAAATCCAGTTGGATTTTTCAAGTTTAATCCGTTATTTTGTTTGCGTGTTGCAATGAAAACCAGTATATCACAAATTTAAATAAACATAACCCAATGCTTTAATTGCATGTACCGTTATTGTGCGTGTTTTATGGCATTCATACCATATTATACAAAATACACACAAAACAAGCACATTCTATTTAAATACGTAAAGCAAAAATCCGTGACTCTCGTGCAAACGGCACAATTCCATGATTCCCGGACAAAACGGTCGAATTGTAAAATTTGTATATAAAAACTCTTTGTAGAATTATAGCGCTGCGTACACAACCCAGTATTTTCTTAAAGGCACATTATGCCTCAGAAACGAATATTTATTTCCTTATTTAGAAGGGCAGACATGTGTTTTAAAATGTTTAAATAACGGCTTTAATAGAGCATGTTCGGTGTTTATTACCTGACGCTGAATCTTGAATTATTTATCATTAAAGTAGCAAAATGTTAACAAAGCAGAAGTTTGACTTCTGGACAAAATTACAATACGTGAACTGATTCCCAAGAAGCAAAAAGGTATTCATTCGTTGCTGAGGCGAAAAGTACATTAAATGTGCATTAAATGGCATTTTCTATATAATTACATGCCAATGTAAGTTTATTTATTAAAAGTCAACAAAATATTTTATTCCTCCTGATTATATTACGCAGAACAAAAAGTTCATGCAAGGCGACTTAACATTGTTCTGTAGCAATCTACGAATGGATGATGCATTAATAATTAGTTTTTCCGTTAGCATACAGCGGAAATTCGGTTGCCCTATTTACGACCCCTCCCCACCAATAAAAAAAGTCATAAATTAATGTTTGTTGTTGGACAGCTTCACAAGATTTTCTTTCTGCCAAATGAAAAAAATCCAAGCTAACTACATTCTTATCAGATTTATACAATTCAGCTTTGTTTGAAAGCACCATTTACAAAAACGATTAAAATATATATCGCCGTCAGTCTGTGTGTACTTGTATCCTACCAAGGGTAAGACGGTCGTTTTGTTATATATATCCAAGTGCAGCAATTTTGGCACATATTATTTACCTTAATATAGCAACCGTTCATGTAATGGATTGAACGAATACAGTGACATGAAATCGGAATTCTTTATCCGATCTGGCTAAAATAATTGACAAAAAAATGAATTCAACGCAGACGGCGGTGGATTCGATTGCAACGCAGTGCGATGGGCCCGATACCATTAATATTTATTATATGGGTTTAACTTGATATAACGCGCTTCTCAATTAGCACAACCCTTTACTTATTTTGAGATCAGAGAAACATGTTTATTTGGTATTTAAAACAATATAATTATATATACAAATAGATTTCCGCTTCCGTTTCCCTTCTATTGAAAATTCCTTTTGCTCAGTAGTATCATACATGTAGAATATTCCCCGTTCAACTGGGACTGAACAAGGCCGTGTTTTCCAGGTTCGGCAATGTTTTGTCATACAAACATATAAAAGAGATACTCGTCAAGATTTTACAGGACATGCTTCTTGAATACAAAGAACAATATCTGTTTAGAATGTCTTTGTTTTATATTATCATACGGAGAATACCAATTTATATACAGTGGAAGTGTTATTCCAGGAAATGTTTTCTATTTATTACCTTTGCAAACACCTGCGCGTTATATAGCCATAATTTTCTTCTGTTTCTTATATCGTGACCTTTATCGAAGAAAAATGGTTTTTCAAATATGGTACATTTCTGAAGAATTTATAGTATCTCTTATAAAATTGAAAAAAGGTAATAAAATCTAGAAATATTCTATGAAATTAAATGTTATTTTTCCAAATGTTTCAAACTGCACTGAAAAACATAACAAAAGGAGTTTTATTCATACATATGTATAAGTTATCTGCCCCTGGAATAACCCCAAATAAGAAACAAGAAGGCACAGGGGGCCGTGGATCGCTTACCTGAGAAATAAGTCAAAAAGTTTAAGTGGAGAACCTTTCACACCAGAAGAAAAAGCGAAAATCAAAACGTCACGAAAAGTACATGATTTACAGGACATATAAGGAAAATCAATGATCTCCTGGGTGGGGCAAATTTTGACCCTAGGGGTTTTATTTCAACAAACATGGTAGACATCCGCTAAAACATGTTTCATGTCAAATATCTAAGCTCTACCTCTTTTGTATTTTCACAATAAGATTCAAAGATGTAAAAATGGAAATAGATTTTAAAGTCTTCAGGACATGCAATCGTATAAAAAGATTTTTAAAGTTTTTACTATATAAATTTAAAGGGAAAAGCAATGCTAGTATTAAAACTTGATATCAGAAATAAAATACTATAAATAGTAAATCTGCAAATTTTCTGCCTTCAAATAATAATATTAAACGAATGATAACAAAATTTAAATCGCTAAATTACCGATTTCAACAAATCAGTAGGCACGGCCCTTTAAATATTTTTATACGATTGTATGTCCTGAAGACTTTTAAATCTATTTCCATTTTTACATATACATATACATTATAAGGAGGATTATTCAAGAAACATAACCGTGGCTTTTGTTGTGTTTGTGGTATTTTTAGTTTTAACTATTCGGCATTTTCTAGTTGGGTGGTACTAATATTTTTACTTGAATAATGTTGAATCACCTTTAGGATATATAGCCTGGTTTTAAACGCCTTATCTGTGATATGCAGGCTTTATAACCTCTGATCCCCTTTCAAAATTCCTTTTGTTTAGTTCCGCCCATTGTTTTCTCGTTTAGGACACATGCTTTCTATTACTTGGAGACCTTAAGTCCCTTTTCATTGAATGGCACAGAAGTGTTCCATTAAACCGCCGTATGAACACATTTGCGGATGTGTTTTAATTCAAAAGTTTACCTTTCCACATTTCAATGTTGAGTTCTGAATAAGCCAGTGCTAGGTGTCGTGGACGGTAGTTTGCACTTGACAGTAAGGTCAATAGGATCAGTCAAACCGAGCCTACAAGATTTTCCGTTTTGGGCTTTCTTTAAGGCTTCTTATTTTATCTATTCCATCACTTTCTCTCTCCCCCCCCCCAACCACCAAAGCTGCATCAGTACTAAGGATGTAGTACTTAAGTACCAGTACCAGTACTTGGCAAATTATGCAGTACCATTACCAGTACCAGTACTAGATTTAAGCTTGGTACTGCAGTACCAGTACTTTTTTTGGTGAAGTAATTAAGTATCAGTACCATTACTTTTATATATTCATTAAAGTTTGAAAAAATACTGTGTCAAACAAATAATTGCGAATATTATTCAGCAAAGAAATAAAATCATAATTTACTTTAAAGTTAATACAACTTTATAGTTTTAACATACTTTTTACAAACAATATTTACAACATATATTCATGCCATATCATATTGTTTAGTAACCAGTCAACTGTAATACAATGCAATCATCTTTCATTTAAAACACAACAGTCTTTTGTTGCCTTTCACACCTCTGTTCAATTCATACCAAAGTAAATATCAACTTTTTATGGTGCTAACAATATCACTTGAAATAGGATTATTTAGAATAGAAGCAATTAATTAGTGATTATTTTGCTCTTTTACTAGTAAATACAAAGTAATAAAAGATTTTAAAAAGGATATTTTAGGGTAAAGAGTTATTGAGTTTGTTTATCTCAATTTAAGTTTTACATAAAGTCTTTGGTGCTTTTTTATGATGAATACTATGTTAACTTTTGAATGGAATTATTGCAGCACAAAATTATCTATAGATTTGATAAATTACTTTTTCACAACAAAAATAAAATAATGTAATTTTGACAACTTTATTTTTTTGAAAAAAATGATGCCTTATTTTTTATCAAAAAAAAAAAGTACTGGCCTAGTAATGCAGTAGCAGTAACCCCTTTTTTTTAGGCAGTAATGCCAGTACCAGTACCAGTAGTAGCAAAATTTTGCAAGAGTAATTCAGTATCAGTACCAGTACTTGCAAAATCGCTGCAGTACGTACTGCAGTACCAGTACCAGTAATGCAGCTCTGCCCCCCCCCCCCCACACACACACATTTAATTCATTTAATTCCCTTTTTACTACTGAAAATAGGTATGGTAAAGCAACTCCGGCAGGTTAGATATATTTTAAGTTCTAAAAACGATTTAAAATTAAAAACAAAAAAAAAATTCCTTGTAAAATATGATAGAAGTTGACTACTGTCTCTGTCTCTCTGTCTTATCTGTACCCTCTACTTTGAGGAAGCTGTTATTTTGAGAAAGTCGTTTCTTTGAGAAAACCGCTACTTTGAGAAAGCCGTTACTTTGAGAAAGCCGTTTTTATTTATTCATTTATTTATTTATTTATTTATATACATGTACGAGCATATATATTTCTAGAAGCACCGTGCTCCGGTACTTCAGATTAAATGTCTTTACAATGAGAACAATCCTTCATGTCACGCATATATTCTTCAAACTGAATTGTTGTTTCTGTAATTCCAAACTGTGACCTAATCAAACTCCGTATTTTCTTTAACACTACCATTGTATCTGTTGTCTTACCTGAAATTATATCATAGTGAGAATAAATCATATCACAGCAAAAAAAAAAACAACAAAAAACAGCGTATATCATCAGAGTTTATAAATTATATCATAACGTACAACATAATATCAATGTTAATATTATATCACAGCATTATTATATCATCATAGCTTGCATAATGTCAAAGCGGACATATCAACGAAAGATCATATCAAATCATATATCATTTGTATTATCAAATCGTACATCATAGTACAGTACATCAATAATGTCAAAAACGTATACATCGTATCACAGCAAAATCATATCACAGCATAAATTATACCGTACAAGTCGTGTCACAGCAGAAATTATATCAACGAAACATCATACCAAAGCGAAGATCATATCACAGCAAAACACAATAAATCGGTGTATATCATCACAGCGTATTTTGATAGTATCATAGCGTACATCCTATCACAGCACCCGTTATATTACGAAACACATCATATTATAGCATATTACATTATATCACAGATAACAACGTAACACGTACATATTTATATTTACATATATTACATAGTGTACGTACATCATATCACAATACACCTCTTCATAGCGTATATCTGTGACATTAAAGCGTACATCATATCACAGCAATAATTAAATCACAGCGTATATTATTACATCGTATAGATGGTATATAATATAACAGCGTATCTACATCATATCAAATTGTACATCATTGTTATTAAAGCATACACAATGTCAGCGTACATCATATCAAAGTCATATCATATCAAAGTCTACACTATATAATCATGTACATAAAATCACAAAAAGGCGCTAAATTTTTACAGACAGGACGAAGGTCTACTTACTGACAGCTATATGTACGGATAGCGCTATTTTATCCATTGATAGCGACCATATTCTGAGGTCATGTATGTCTTCCACTTCCGGTATGCTTTTTAAACTTTGATGAATAGTTTTGAAATCTAAATGGCGTGGAGTTCCTGAAAAAAAAAACACGTTTAATATTAAATGTCATTGATTGCGCCTTATTTACATACTTTATAGATAAAGTAAAAATTGGAGTTATATAGCTATAGCCCATATTATAGAAACACTTTTTGCTGTAAATTGATTGATATATTATAATATGTTAAGGGGTATAATTTTAGTTAACTGTACAATAGAGATGTGTGTCGTGACCTGGAAAGCATCACAAGAAGTCAGATAGTGCGACAATGCTTGCAAAAATGTTTTCTACATAACCTTGTCACAAACACTGCTTTAACTTGGAAATATGGAAAAGTGTGCAAAATTTTAACAAACTGGCAGAAGAGTTAGGTCACTTAGCATGAAGTCTCACAAATAGAAATAAATAAATAAATCTGTTTTGATAATAACTAGATGGCCATTTTAAAATCCAAGTGTCATTGGCATTATCAAAAAGTCATTTGCCAAATTTAATTTATATATTAACATTATTTGAACTGTTGCTGGTATAGGTAACTAATGTTGTTTACCCTTCGGAGGATTGAAATATCAATAAATGTGACCGTATGTGGATGAAATTTACGAAATTTAACCTCGAAATACAGAGCCGACACGAAATTTTGAAATTCATACTTAATGACTAAATGTGACCTTGACCTAAGGGTGGTCAAATTTTGCACATCGTCTCTTTTTGTTTAACATTTTTGCCAAGAAGTTTCAATATCCTTCCATCGGTTCAAAAGATACAGAGCGGACAAGAAATTGCTAACGCCGACCTGACGGAAGGACGGGCATAACAATAGACGCCCAAATTGTATGTTGATTTTTTCGGGCGTATAAAAGATATAAACAAAGGTTTATATGTAATCAGAAGGTAAAACAGTTTAGAACAAAATATGTGTCTTAAAATAAGGACAAACCTTCCATTAACACAAGCAATATATCCCTTAGAATTGCTATTGTTGTGCCAATTACAATCACAGAAAATACAAATGTGCAAATTGGATCAGCTAGCTTCCACTCAGGCTGAAAAAAAAGAATACTAAGACCTGCATAAAGAATGTAGTTTACCCGTAATTTGCGCCTTATATAAATACAGATATTTAGAAATATAACTTTTATTTACGTGTTTTAGTGAATTCAGTAATTCTATCTACATGTATAAAGTTTTGAAATTCACTGAAATAAAATTGCTTGTACATTTAAGACTTTATGATAAGATATTTCAATCATAAGGCAAGGAAATAAATTAAAGACTTGCTGGCGTTGCATGGCGTCGTTGACGCGATCCACACCCAATTACTCGAGACATGTTACACTTTAGTGTAGAAATTGCATGTAATGTATTATAACATACGGGTCTAATATATAACTAGCGCTTGTACAAAGAGTCAGTACTCGTGCCCGCATGTTATATTATGACATATATAGTCTTATCATGACATATATGGTAATATCATGGTATATATGGTTATATCATGGCATATATGGTTATATCATGGCATATATGGTTATATCATGGTATATATGGTTATATCATGGTATATATGGTTATATCATGGCATATATGGTTATATCATGGCATATATGGTTATATCATGGTATATATGGTTATATCATGGTATATATGGTTATATCATGGTATATATGGTTATATTATGGTATATTTGGTTATATCATGGTATATATGGTAATATCATCGTATATATGGTTATATCATGGTATATATGGTTATATCATGGTATATATGGTTATATCATGGTATATATGGTAATATCATGGTATATATGGTTATATCATGGCATATATGGTTATATCATGGCATATATGGTTATATCATGGCATATATGGTTATATCATGGCATATATGGTTATATCATGGTATATATGGTTATATCATGGTATATATGGTTATATCATGGTATATATGGTTATATCATGACATATATGGTTATATCATGGTATATATGGTTATATCATGACATATATCGCTATATTATGGCATATTATGGTTATATCATGGTATATATGGTTATATCATGGCATATATGGTTATATCATTGTATATATAGTTAAATCATTGTAGTTTCAGTCATGGTCAACAATTTTACAGCATCAACTGCCGGATAGATTGTTGTGTTGTTACTTTCAAGAATAGTCCAACAAAAAAATATATTGCTTGAAAGTCGTTTTAAACTGTTAAATTTTGATTATTTTTTTTTATTTACTTAAACATGGTAATCGTGACACGCGATCATTAGCTGGATTCGTATATTTCAAACACATTGACGACAGATCATTCACAAGATTAACAATGGTATCATAAAAAAACACATGTCTCTCATTTAACTAAATACCGATGGAGAGCAGCCAGGGGAGAGAACTACAATACGTTTTCTTAAATCTATATAGATTACTCTCCCTTGCACGGGTGACATTTCAGAAACGTCACAATAGGCTATATATAGTAAAAAGTTTACGTTAAGTGTAATAAATACTATATAATGCACAAGTTAACAATTATTTATACTATATGACGCGGTAAGTTTATCTTCATGTAATTAAATACATTATGGAAAAGATCGTTATTATAACAGTGTTTAAAGTATGGTTTTGGGATAAAAAAAAAACACCCTTTTGTGAGGTTTGTAGAACTCGAATTGAATATAACGATTTTTTAGAAACATCGGAAAAATGAAGGTTCTAAAATAGAGATACATGTATCTGCGTTAAAAAGTCGATAAATTCAATTCAATTTGGGTTTCAATTTTATGATGAAACCAAGTGCCTATGATTAAAGCAAATGGGAATAAACGTTGTGTGTTACCTTAAAATAGATAAACAGTGCTGCTATAAGAACGCCTATACTTTGAATAAGATCTCCCATCACATGAAGAAATGATGCTGAAATGTTTATATTAGATTTTTGGGAATGTCCGTCCTCTTTTCCCGCCGAAATCTCGTCTGCTGCAAAAGAAAATTGAAATTTTAAAACAAAATTTCGTTTTGAGTATTCGGCGACGTCCCAATATCATGTAAAGATTGTTTGGTGGCAAAAAAACTTATTTTGAAGATACAATTCAAACATTATTTTTTTCATTACAAAAGTACATTATACAAGACGTTAACTTTTTCTCTACGCCGAAAAGAAACTTGTAAAGTTATGCCCTTTCTTTAATGTCAAATACGCTGTATATGTATAAAGAATCGGACATTTTTTACATGTTTGTCTCGATGGATAACAGATGTATTTCCTGAAAACTATAATCGAATGTCACATTTCTCTTAATCAATAGTTAAGTTAAGTTAATTTTGATTTCACAGAATACAACCCTTTCCCATCACTCCAACAACACCAAAGTAGCCCAAGTTTGTCTTGAACCAACTGGAAGGAAAATTATAATAATTTGGTCAAAATAGTTATTTTAATTAGACTTGCAGACCACACATTTCCGGGCGCTCAAATTCAGTAAAAATACATGTTTGGACAAATTGTATTTCCACTCTATAGAGGCGGCTTTCGAAATATATTTCACAACCATTTAAGATAAAAGACCTCTCATTACACCTTCACTTTCAGGGGCAGATCACTCACCAAGTAGGATGGTGATCCTTTAATGGTTTTATTTGTCAGTTCGTTTCAATCATGATTGTCTTTTATCATGCAAAGTTAAAGTCACTTTCTGCGATGTGATAATTAAAATTTTCTTTCTTTGCCTCTGTTAACAAATTACTAAAATATTCAATTTTTAAAGCGCCTTCTACCTTTAACCGTTTTAAACAAATACCAGTACCACATGTTTTCTTGTGCTAAACATGGAGGTAACTGCTGCAAGTAGTTTAATTAGTAGATTCATGAAACAATGGACAAAACGGTTGGTCACCCATTGGAAATATTGGTATGGTGTTTATGACAGTTTCGTCAAATATGGCCAATAAAGTTTAGTCTGTATGTAAATACAATGCGGGTCATAATGATTTGTGTGCGTGTAACTGTTGTATGCGCAATCAAAACTTATAAAATCAAAATCAAATCAAAATTTATTTATTGTCGGTATGGATATATATGGATATATAACATTTAACAAAAAATAAGCTATGTATACCTTTCGACCGACATGATGTAACTTATGAACAAAAATATTTCAATTATCTATCAAATGAAAAAGAATAATATTGGATTATTTTTTTTCCAGAAAATGTAAAGGATTTCAATACTAAAGATTATTGAAAAAAAATGACGTACATTGTATTTCCCACGAAATAAAAACATCAATACCTGTTTCATTAATAGAAAGGCCACCGTATGAAGACTGCGGTGTTCTGGCGTTCCCTTGCTCACAATCAAATGACGTTAACGTCAACCTTTCCTTGTCTGAATCTGTCAACGCCGTGCCGTTATTGCTAGCACTGTTATCGCCGTGAGAATGACCATGGCTACCCTGGTGTAATGTCAGACCCATTCTGAATTTCAACAGTAATAAATATGGTACAGAATATTGCCTTGCATAACTTCCGTTATGGTTTCAAATAGAGCTCGCCGCAAGAGGTGCGCATACTGGCATCCAACGAATGAAACTTCCGGGTAGGCTGTTTGAGACGTAAGCAGTAAGACAAATTCAAACGGTGATTGGTCATGTGAAAACTTCAGACCAATGAAAATTAAGGCGAGCAATGTGACAGTTTCTTTCAGAAACGATTGAAAATTTGACATATCGGAAAAAGTATGTATATATAAAGTTAGTTCCTATTTCTTTTTCGAATAAGGAATCAGGAACTATCTCCCTGTTTATTTTTCGAAAAAAGAATAAGGAGCTGATTTCTTATACCTACTTCGAAAAAAGGAATAAGGAATAGGGAACTAATTTTAAATACATTCATAATAGTTTCATATGATGATAAGATTGGGGGGTTATTACAAATATTTATTTCATCTTATCATTTTCAGATGCCTAATACAAAAAAATATTCATTCATTTCGAATAAACTGCCCTTCTGTTGGGTAATTTTCACAAAAACCCACCTCTCTGTTGTTTCCCACTTGCGATGAATTCGAGATTAAATATCTACCTATTTCATGTATTTGAAATCATTTTTAAGAAAAACCAATTCCCTTCCATTTGGTACCAGGATTTTGAAATTTGGTGAAAAAAATGTAAAATGCAAAAACTATGGAGGAAGAGTGGCATGGAAATTTATGTGAAACTCAACTCACGCAAGGTTAAATGCCACTCCACAGCCGGCCGTTATAAGCATGATGGTAGCGTTGACCTCGAACTCTCTCTTGATGACCCTTATCACGGCCATGTAGCATAACACAATCGTTATTACCCATAGTAGAAGAATTGAAACTAACGCTCCTAGAATCTCTGAAACGATTTTAACATGATATGGGCCGCGCCATGACAAAACCAACATTATGGGTTTGCGACCAGCATAAATCCAGACCAGCCTGCGCATCCACGCAGTCTGGTCAGGATCCATGCTGTTCGCTATCAGTTTCTCTACTTGTTATAGGGTTTGCAAGCTAACAACATGGATCCTGATCAGACTGCGCGGATGCGTTGGCTGGTCTGGATCCATGCTGGTCACAAAACATTATGTTGGTTTTGTCAAAGCGCGGCTCATATATTTAACAGTATATAAACTACAGTTCCCCACAAAGTTTCAAGATCACATATAGAAAATTATATATACGATCAAAGTACTGAAGTGTACGTGTGTTGACTAGATAAACTAGCCAAATTACGTAACGTCAGTTTGATAGATATATTACGTAGACGTATTACGTATACCAAATCGCAAATTTCCGGCGTTTTCCGCCAATCTTTATGAATAATATCCGAGATGTTCCGATTGAGATTATACCTCTACATTTTAAGAGGATGAAAAGGAAAGTACCAAACAAAATTTTAACCAAGGTTGGAAATTAGATTTGAATTTCAGATCATTTGATTGCAACTTTAAAATTACATTAAAGAACAATATAACTTTGTGTTTCGAACTATTTATAAATATATTACTCAAAGTTAATTTCGAATGACTGCATCGACGTTCTTTTTTTTTTTTTTTTTTTTTTTTTTTGTTGTATTCCGATTAAAAATGTCATAAAAAGATGTCCACTTCCCCGCACAGGGGAATTAATTATAGGAGAAAATCAATATCCACGTGTTACCGAACTTTTTTTAAAATTCATATCAATCAAATACCTGCTCGGTACCAGCCAAAGCTCAATTTTTGCGTGGGTGGTCTTGAAGCAAAATACAAAGCCAGAAGGCTTATCAGGAAGCTGGCTAGATCTGTTAACAGATGAGCAGCGTCTGATGCTATGGCTAAACTGTTGGCTAAATATCCACCTGTGAAAATATAAAACCTCCTGAATTTGCGTAAAATATCTGCAATGGTTAGACAGTATCATTCCAAGTATAAGGGATTTCACTGTGAACATTCAACAAGAGCAGCGCGTGTGGTTAAAACGCCCGTCTGTTAAAAGATTCTAAGCTAAAAATGGGCTTAAGAATATATATTTCAGAATTATGGCCCTTGTCAAACGTCTATGCAAAATCATGATAAGCATCCATTCCAAGTTTAATATTGATGCCTTGTTTTTGTTGTTGTTGTTGTTGTTGTTGTTGTTGAGTAATGAGCTACAATAAAGAGTTTGCACGATGACAAGGACGCCTCCGTAGCGACCATGATAGCTCAGTTTTTTTCTTCGAAACAGACGAGCTAAAAATAAGGTACAATCATCAGACTGTAAAGGTGACTTATCTAATTCTATACTAATGGCAAGGACCACAGACACCAACTTTATAGGTTCCAAACATCAAATTTATTAGTTCCAATCATTAAATTAATATATTCCAATCATCAAATTTATACGTTCCAAACATCAAATTTATAGGTTCCAATCATTAAATTAATATGTTCCAATCATCAAATTTATACGTTCTAATCATCAAATTTATACGTTCCAATCCACATATTTATAGGTACCAATCATCAAATTTATAGGTTTCAATCATCAAGTTTATAGGTTCCAAACATCAAATTAATAGGTTTCAATCATCAAGTTTATACGTTCTAATCATCAAATTTATAGGTTCCAATCATCAAGGTTATAGGTTCCAAACATCAAATTTATAGGTTCCAATCATCAAGTTTATAGGTTCCAAACATCAAATTTGTAGGCTTCAATCATCAAGTTTATAGGTTCCAAACATCAAATTTATAAGTTTCAATCATCAAGTTTATAGGTTCCAAACATCAAGTTTATAGGTTCCAAACATCAAATTTGTAGGTTTCAATCATCAAGTTTATAGGTTCCAAACATCAAATTTGTAGGTTTCAATCATCAAGTTTACAGGTTCCATAAATAAATTTGTAGGCTCCAAACGTCAAATTTATATGTTCCAAACATCAAATTTATAGGTTCCAATAATCAAATTTGTAGGTTTCAAACGTCAAATTAATGTGTTCCAAACATCAAATTTATAGGTTCCAAACATCAAATCTATAGGTTCCAATCATTAAATTAATATGTTCCAATCATTAAATTTATACGATCTAATCATCAAATTTATAGGTTCAAATCCTCATATTTATAGGTTCCAATCATCATTCACTCATTAGCATGCGGTTTAAGAAACAACAACTTTCCATGTACATGTATCATTTGATGCTATAACTTGTTTTATTTATGATTAAAAGAGTTTCCTGTGTAATAATGGAGTACCTTCATGCTATAAAGAAAATTGGTTGTCATGCCTGATTTGTGCCATCTTGTATTTTCGCTTATCAAAAACACGAAAACACGACAAATTCATCACTTTGCCGTGTTATCGTGATTTCGCCTAGCGCATGGCGGACAAAATGTTGACTTTGGCGGTATTTTTTTTTTTTTTTTTTTTTTGGCCACCTTAACCAATTAGGGTCTAGAAAATAAATAACGATATGGAATATTGAATTCAAGTCATTGAGCGAAAATTATTTTCACATTCACGGTCACTATAACCTTGAGCATCACTTATATAACTTAACAAGGGTGATCAAACTATGAAGTTTGAAGGCTTTGCATCAAATAGGTCTCTAGTTGGAAATTTATCAGACAACCGGTTATATATGCCATATAACCTGCCAAAATTCATTAACTAATAATATATTCGGGGAGGCATAAAAATAATGTTAGGGAACATATAATTTGTTACAGAAGTATCTTTTATAGTTTTCTCAAGGAAAATAAATAAGTAATTAACTAAAAATCAATAAAATCAAAACTGTAACTAGCCAATGATTTCAGCAGTCATAAACAATACAGAGAGGACACATGCTGTCAGTAACTTCCGTCTGGCTCTTTTATCAACACTGGGTCCCTGCTTTTGATCGTGGCACTCACACTCTGTAATTAACATAAATGCATACATCATAATTTAGTTTTTAGTCAGAAATTATTTTTGTTTGATTGTGCAGGAAGCTATGAATAAGCTTATACACACACATTGGAATCAATTCCTGGAACCAACCAGTACTGAGCAATGGGCCAAGAAAACTACGACTTGCATTCAAGGGGTTTGAACCCGTGCAGCTAGCGATCATAAGATAACTTGTCCGCGTCCTTGCTGCCATGTCATAATTTCGTAAATGTCCGGCATTTTCGCCAATTTCCGTGTTCATAAAGATGAAATAAGCATTTATATGACCATGAGTAACGATAACACTGTCAATTCGATGCTTAAACACATATAGGTACATATAAACTTGAAAAAGAACGTGGCAAAGTCGATGGGTATATTCCAATTAGATACTGCATCAATGTAAATATGCTTTAAACATATGCATTTATTTTTATTGACATTTCAAAAAGCAATTTAACATACATTAACCTGTCGGAATTTGAACAGATAATTATGTTACTTATTCATATGAATCTTACATATTTCATGCTTAAAGTTTATGTTTCCACTTCGATGACAATTTAACGATAATTTGAGGAAGTATACTTTGCAACAACAACAGATCAGACTAGAGCACCAAGTGCAGTGTAAATGCTCGTCTGTAAAAGGCAACCACTATCAATAACCAATTTCTATGAATATTATAAAATAATTCGTATTGCAACTCCTCAAAGCTTTGCTACTTTGTTTCTGTACTGACCAGGGGAAGTAACCGCTGCGGGGAGTTTGAAAGTAAACAGATGGTGAAAACGCGATGGTACGATAGTGAAAGCGTGATGATACGATGGTGAAAACGCGATGGTACGATGGAGAAAACGCGTTGGCACGATGGTGAAAGCGCGATGGTACGATGGTGAAAGCGCGATGGCACGATGGCGAAAGCGCGATGATACGATGGTGAAAACACGATGGTGCGATGGTGAAACGACGATGGTACGATGGTAACATCGCGCTTTTACCATAGTACTATCGCTCCATCGCGATTAAACCATCGTACCATCGTGCATCAGCGGAAACAGATTAAATTAAAAATCACGACTGTCCAAACGGAACACCGTAGAACTCAGCTTGGAATACTGTTTGCACATGTTAATAAGATGTTTAAAATTTTATTTCTTAAAAAAATCAGTCTTTTTTCAAGTAGTTGTTCACGAAACTTCTGCAGAGAAAATGGTTACAAATAGATGAAACAATAGATAAAATGCCTTATACAAACACTTCCCATGTGAAAATTATTAAACGAAAATATTTCTTTCATTTTCCCAAATAACAGAATCAGAAATACTAAAATGTATCCAAAATTTAAATAATGGTAAAGCACCTAGTCCCTCCGATAACATTAGAAATGAGTATATTAAAAGTACGAAAGATACATTCTTACCAATTTATTTTAAACTTTTTAATTGTGTCCAAGACACTAGTTTTATTACAAGAGCACATAGACACTTGGGGTTTGGAGCTTAAAACGCCTTTAAAATCCAAATAAAATGCATATTTGTCAATCCCAGCACATGTACTGATCATTACATTACATTATTATGTATTATTATAGATGTTGAAATATGATTTTTTTTTTTCAAAACGGCTTATATTAAGTTTATATATATATATATATATAAACGGCTTATATTAAGTTTATATATATATAGGAGAGGTTATTCTTGCGCTGATTTACAATATACCCCCTAACTGAAATTCTTCAAAAGAAAAAACTGGCACTTTTCTGTGCTTTTGTAGATTTTTCTCAAGCTTTTGATAAAGTATGGAGGGTGGGTCTTTGGCATAAATTGCTCGAAAAATCTATAAATGGTTAATTTTTCTTTGTACTTAATAATATGTAAAAAAAAAACATTTCACATGATGGAGCTGTCTCGGCGTCATTCAATTCCGAAATAAGGGTGAAACAGGGTGAAATTTTGTCTCCTGTCCTATTTTCCATGAACTTAAATGACCTCTAAACTTATTACAGAATAACATGATGGAGCTGTCTCGGTGTCATTCATTTCCGAAATAGGGGTGAAACAGGGTAAAATTTTGTCTCCTGTCCTATTTTCCATGAACTTAAATGACCTCCAAACTTATTTACAGAATAACGGAACTGTTGGGGTCACAGCTCTTACTTTATGGCTTAAACTTTTTGTTCTTCTCATGCAGACGATACTATTCTGTAATCGAACACTGCAGACAATCTCCAAATTTTAATGATTACTGTAAAAATTGGCATTTAAAGGTGAACATAAACAAAACAAAAATAGTAACTTTGGTGCTCGGCAAACTGGGAATTTTAGATTTTACCTTGGAGATGAAAATATTGAGACATCCGACTCTTACCATTACTAAGGTGTGACATTCTCTAGCAATGGCTAGAAAGCACGAAGTCCAACAAGCAACTAAGGCAATGTATTTATACTATTTACTAAATCAGATAACTCAGATATATATACCGCTATATCTTATTCTTAAACTATTTGACCACACTGTTTTACATATTTTGACATATGGATATATCGATTTAATTGTGAATATATTTCTTGATTTTCTTATTGCATAAAATCATAGTTTGTTTTATTCCCCGCTTTTATTTCCAAAGTTGCTCTATGTAAGATCATCATAATTTGGGACGTAGTGGAGCACCTTTCAATGATAAACATATAGACACAATATTAAGTTCGTACAGACGGACGCATTTTGCAAAACAAATATATCTACGTTACGATTGTGAAACTTCTTTATTGAAATTTGATAGTAGTGAACTCAGGGTTTTTTTTCAAGTAATTGTTCACGAAACTTCTGCAGAGAAAATGGTTACAAATAGATGAAACAGTATAAATGCGTCGTACAAACACTTCCCGTGTGAACATTATTAAACGAAAATAGTTCTTTCATTTTCCCAAATAACAGAATCAGAAATACTAAAATGTATCCAAAATTTAAATAATGGTAAAGCACCTAGTCTCTCCGATAACATTAAAATTAAAAGAACGAAAGATATATTCTTACCTATTTATTTAAAAACTTTTTAATTGTGTCCAAGACACTGGTTTTATCCCAAGATATAGCTAGAAGGAATGATAATTCCAATTTACAAAAATATAGTCCCGTCAAACGACCCAAATAACTATCGACCAATCACCATTCTAAGCTGTTTGGGTAAATTATTGACATCAGTTTTAAACAACAGGTTAACAAAATATCTAGAAATTAATAATATTCTGCATGAAAATCAAGCTGGTTTCAGGAGAGGTTATTTTTGCGCTGATCACCTATTTACCCTATACCCCCTTACTGAAATTCTTCAGAAGGAAAAACTGAGACTTTTCTGTGCTTTTGTAGATTTTTTCTCAAGCTTTTGATAAAGTATGGAGGGTGGGTCTTTGGCATAAATTGCTCGAAAATTCTATAAATGGTAAATTTTCATGGTTCTTAATAATATGTACAAAAATAGTCGTGTATTTCACATAATGGAGCTGTCTCGGCGTCATTCATTTCCGAAATAGGGGTGAAACAGGGTGAAATTTTGTCTCCTGTCCTATTTTCCATGAACTTAAATGACCTCCAAACTTATTTACAGAATAACATGATGGAGCTGTCTCGGTGTCATTCATTTCCGAAATAGGGATGAAACAGGGTGAAATTTTGTCTCCTGTCCTATTTTCCATGAACTTAAATGACCTCCAAACTTATTTACAGAATAACGGAACTGTTGGGGTCACAGCTCTTACTTTATGGCTTAAACTTTTTGTTCTTCTCATGCAGACGATACTATTCTGTAATCGAACACTGCAGACAATCTCCAAATTATAATGATTACTGTAAAAATTGGCATATAAAGGTGAACATAAACAAAACAAAAATAGTAACTTTTGTGCTCGGCAAACTGGGAATTTTAGATTTTACCTTGGAGATGAAAATATTGAGACATCCGACTCTTACCATTACTAAGGTGTGACATTCTCTAGCAATGGCTAGAAAGCACGAAGTCCAACAAGCAACTAAGGCAATGTATTTATACTATTTACTAAATCAAATAACTCAGATATATATACCGCTATATCTTATTCTTAAACTATTTGACCACACTGTTTTACATATTTTGACATATGGATATATCGATTTAATTGTGAATATATTTCTTGATTTTCTTATTGCATGATATCATAGTTTTTTTTATTCCCCGCTTTTATTTCCAAAGTTGCTCTATGTAAGATCATCATAATTTGGGACGTAGTGGAGCACCTTTCAATGATAAACAAATAGACACAATATTAAGTTCGTACAGACGGACGCATTTTGCAAAACAAATATATCTACGTTACGATTGTGAAACTTCTATATTGAAATTTGATAGGTAAAATATAATTTCTATATGATAATCATTTTATTTCAAAAAAGAAACAAAGAAATAAAAAGATTTTACCTTTTGACATCCTAAACTTTTATAAAGAGAAATTTCGTCCCTTGGTGTAACTAGAATATACAGTGCAAGTCAAGATTTCTCGTTTACATCAAGCGTTAAATCCAAATTTAATATAAGCCGTTCATAATTATATTGTTAACCTGTAATAAAATCGAATTAAAATAAAACAGTGTAATTTTATGAAGTTCTGTATTTTTTCACAGCATGTTTACAGTTTACTATTATGCAAATGTTAAAGAGTGCGACTAGTATTAGCTTACACGGTTTACTGAATGTAAGATTTGGGGAAATTCAGCAACTAAACCTGATGTTACAACCCGAAACAAGAGCGCTGTGACCGACCTGTATCGCTTACCTTAATCTAACAATTAGGGGAATATTTATTTATTTATTTTTCATTTATTTATTTATTTATGTATTCAATAAAATGCAAGATTCTGAAGAAACACAACACGGAAAGTATTCGCCAACTAGCAAGATAAGTTCACTGGACTGCACTTTTGTAACAAAGCTTTTTTATTGGATAATGTATATTATGTATTCTCTTTATAATTTATGATGTACGTGTTCATGTAATTATCATGTTTCTTCAAATAAAATAATTTGTTGTACATGTGTTAAAATATTTACTTACAACCGTTTATCCTGTGGCATGTTACTTGACTTATACAGTACATACTGGCTATTTAATCTGACTTATACAATACGTACTGGTAATATAATCTGACTTATACCGTACATAATGGTTATATAACTTGACATACATTACCTTCCTGGTATATAACCTGTCTAGTATGTACAGATTATATAATCTATTAATACAGTACGTATTGGTTATATATTCTGACTTATACAGTACGTATTGGTAACATAATCTGACTTAAATTACTACTGTGACGTCATTCCTTTGTTCTGACCGTACTGTATTTTTAATACAGTACAGGTTTGTGTCCAATATTAATGTGTAAGACCAATATTAATCGTGTAAAAAAAAGGAAATAAAAAAACAAAAACAAAAACGATTAAGTTTTAAATAAAATGTAGCCTCTTATCTCAGAGGTTTACACGAGGAATGATGCAACGTCTTTCCTTCGCTCATTACGCATTTTGCATAATTTGACGAAAAGAACAATAACTGTTATCTTGCTCATTTAACGAATTATTATTCCAAGCCTACTGATTTTCGATTTTCAAGTTCTTAACATCTTATCACTTTTTACGCTTTCCAAGTAAATGATTTTTATGTGATTGTTTAATTTCTTGTCTATTGTCCGTTTTGTTTTTGTTCTTTTTTTTCCTTTTTTTTAAATATACGTTAACATGACAATCATACTTGATTTGCTTAATTGTATGACCGCCTCCGTGGTCGAGTGGTTAGAGTCGATGACTTCTAATCCAGTTACCTCTCTGGCGTGGGTTCGATCCCCGGGAGATGCTTTGGTAGTTTAGCGCGGAGGAAGGTAGTCAAGTACTGGTGTAACTCTCCAGGAACGATGGTTAGGAAACTACCCGCCTATATGACTGAAATACTGTTGGAAAAAGGCGTAAAATGACACAAACAAACAAAAACTTAATTGTATGTACGTGATGTTTCAAGTAGGTCAACTTTTCAAGTAAGTGTAATGGTCAGCTTTTCAAATAAATACAATAGAGAAAATAAATACATCTATTTAAAACAAAAGCGGCTATATTTTACTTCGCATAATATAGAAACGATTCCAGACTCCTGTGGTATGACATATACCAATTCAAAAAATAAGAAAATATCATTTCGTTGCGTTTATATCCAAAATTCACACGAATGGCAATTCTTACACATCATTTTACATCCTTGATAGTTGTAGTATAATAAGAAAAATATCATTTTAACACTTAATGATCAGTATAAATTCTTCTTCAATGAGATTCAACACAAATTTGAAAACATTTCATTTATATTAGTTCTTGTAAAATCTCCAATGTAAATTGATGTATACTGGATGTGTGTTAAAGTTCAACATTTTGTGTAACTGGTATATTTTGTGTTTATCATTGTATTCATGTACATCATTGGTCATATTTCAAAACACGAAAATTTCATGCTACGGACATTTTGTTATTCAAGAGGCTACCTATAGTGTTTTGCAAGTAAGAAAAAGATAATCGCTAAAACATTAATATTGTACATTTCTACCACAAAAATACATTATTTCTAAATTTTTGATTGATAACATGATATTTTGATAGTAAATGTAGTAATTTAAGTAAGATATAAGCCTCAAACTGACCAATAAGTAAAATATTGAATTCCCTTCGGCGCTACGCACCTCATGAAATTCAATATTTTACATATTGGACAGTTTTCGGCTTACGTCTACTACTTTTACTGTACGTATTGGTTATATAATCTGACTTATTCAGTACGTATTGGTTATATAATCTGAATTATTCAGTACGTATTTGTTATATAACCTGACTAATTCAATACATATTGGTTATATAACCTGACTTATTCAGTACATATTGGTTTATAATATGACTTATTCAGTACGTATTGGTTATATAATCTGACTTATTCAATACGTATTGGTTATATAACCTGACTTATACAGTACATATTGGTTTATAATCTGACTTATTCAGTACGTATTGGTTATATCACCTGACTTATACAGTACATATTGGTTGTATAACCTGACTTATTCAGTACGTATTGGTTATATAATCTGAATTATTCAGTGCGTATTTGTTATATAACCTGACTAATATAATACATATTGGTTTATAATCTGACTTATTCAGTATATATTGGTTTATAATCTGACTTATTCAGTACGTATTGGTTATATAATCTGAATTATTCAGTATGTATTAGTTATATAATCTGGCTTATTTGGTACGTTTTGGTTATATAACCTGACTTATACAGTACATATTGATTGTATAATCTGACTTATACAGTTCGTTCTGGTTATACGTATAACATGACGTATTAAGTACATATTGCAATTGATCATATAATGGAAAACGGATAATGGAAATGTCAAAACAGAAAAAAACAATTATATTCATTTAAAGTATGAATTACGTTTAAGTTATTAAGATAACATGAATACAGGCCAGCCTGAACCATATTTTCCAGGAAAAGGAAATCGAATGATTAAAAATATGACCAGAATAAATAATTTATTTAATTTAATTTAATGATTTTATATAATATGTATGTCTAAAAAACAAAATAAGCACTAAATTCTGTACACTTTTATTTAAATAGATATTTAAACTTTATAGCTTATTCGTATTTCAAGATATAAGAAAAAACGAATAATACTATATATATATATACGCTTAATATAAATGTTTAAGCCAAATTTTACCGTAGACCCCCAACCCTTGGTCAGTATTGGGCTGTTGTTGGGAGTTTGACCATTTTACTTCAAGTCCCTGCACTTCTGAGACAAAACGCTGATTATGTTTTGGTGCCAGCATAACGAGGCATAAGGGGATATAAACTCTAAATTTATCATATAAATTTACAACATATATCAAACATGGCCGAGCACGAAATCTTATATTATTTAAACATGCATGAATGTGTACACAGAAATCTCTAAATAAATGATATTTGAAGTAAAAGAAAAAAAATAGGTCGTGTATTAAATATCAAATCAGGACCTTGATTGAAAGCTTTAATTGATAAGAATGAATCGATTTTTAAAAAAGCAATGATATTTACAATTTGACAATATTAAAGAAAGATCCAGTCGGTTTAAATAGCACGATCAAAGTGTATACAATAGCGATCATAGTACATGTAATGACAAAACCAAACGTAGGCGATGTACAGCTATACAATGTAAATGATTTATTATACATCACTTATAAATGATCTATTGAGAAATACTGATGAAATAGAATTTGTATTTTCATTTTCCGTATTTTCACTGTAATAATTTTATTTTTCACTGCAGTGAAACATATCTTTCCGTATTTTCACTGGTGTCTTGCCAGACACCTTTCTTCTAAATTTAGCTAATACAAAAAATTTTAAGGGAAGTCTTCCAAATTGTTATGACAGAAAAAAGAAAAAATGTTATAAAAAAACCAGAAAATACAAGTTTTTACAACAAAACATAATTTATTTTCATCTTGTGGTATGATATACGATCATATTTCACTCGTGGCTTATGTCACTTATGCATAAAATATTCATTTTCAAACAACACACAATGTAAAAGAAAAAAAGTAAAGAAAAAGACTAAATTGAATTTCATCTAGCTATAAAATTTGTTGGTCTCCAGTTTTTATTTATTCATTTTGTTATTTTTTTTGTTTTGTGTTGTAATGTATCACATCACTGTGAAGCCGTCCTGAGAGCTATTTATAATGTATCAGTGACCTTTTTGTTTTAGCTCGACCCCGCATGGCGAGTGCAGATGGTAATCATAGATGCACTACAACAAATATGCATCGCATATAAACGTTTTAATTTACATTAAAGTTTGTAACTTAGCGTTTCGTCATATAGTCTTTCTAGAGATAGTTTTCTAAATGTAGTAAACGCGGGGGGGGGGGGGGGGGGGGGCGGGGGTACGAAATAACTTGATTGGTCGTACTGAATCACGTTTATTAAAAATTGCATTAATATTGCATGCTTGACCGACTTTTGTCCGTTTATGCATCTTTAATTCACCGATATCATGTACCCCTGAGCACAGATTTTAAGATATCAAGTAACATGTACATAAATGACCCAGATATAATGACTAGTTATTGTGTCATGTTTTAATGACTACGGATTCCTGTTCCAACCATTGACTTTCGACTCAAAAGCTGTAAAATATGCGTGTAATTTCCACTTTTCGTACTGACGTTTTAACAGGAAAAGTCAAAATTGGTTTTAGAGTCTCACTGGCACGGTTAGATATAATTAAAGTTGTTGAAAATAGCTTCCAGGATAACTGCTAAACTTTCCTTTTTTTTTAAAACATTTTTAAAGAAATTAAGAAAGACTAATTCGCACTTCTTATTTTAAGTCGTTTCCAGTAATGAAATGTTTAACAACGACAAAGAAGTAAAGAATGATGCCTGGTTGAGTAAAACAAACTTCATGCTGCTCTAAGTTATCTGTTCCTGGTATGGAGCTATTCGCTCTTTCTTGTTATTTTCAAGGGCAGATAACTCAAAACAAGCATAAAATACTATTTACTTTAGCTGATGTAAAACTATAGATATGAGTTACGCTTGATATAGCTTAGTGTTAATATACGGAATGCCGTAAGGGCCATCGCCTATGAATGT